TTTTTCCATCTCTGTCCCATTAGGGTGATTTCCCTTTACTTCCTGTCCTGGAGACACAAAGGAAGTGGGAAAACTTCTCTTCAAAATGAGGGAAAATCCCCTCTTAGTTGTCACCTGGTCAGGTGCCCACATTGGGGTTTTTACTTTCATTCCTTTTACGGTTACACTTACCCATGTTAAGGCTTAACTTACCCATCTTTTTCTTTGATGGTGACAATGGTCACCTTACTTGAACAAGTGTGTGTGTGGGGGGTGGGGAGGGGGGGAATCCCCACTACATGGAAAACGACAGCTATATAAGACAGACAGAGATTATAACCTTTCCTTGCTCTATCCAAAACTACTAAAAATTGTTGGACTGTAGATACACTATAAATAAATTACACTAGCAATAAATTACACATATTTACAGCAGAGGAATGGCATAAAGTTTTCCTCCTTACTTCTAAATCAAGTATATCGGTTGGAATTCAGGAGAGGAACTTTAAAATAGTAACCAGGTGGTATAGATGCCCAGTGAAACTACATAAAATAGACCCGCAAGCAACCAAGATGTGCTGGAGATGTGGAATGGAAGAGGGCACAATGCTGCACATATGGTGGACATGCCAGGGAATAAAGCCCTACTGGAAAATTATATTTGAACTAGCAGGCAGAATTATGGGCACAAAAATGTCTTAAACCCCAGAAGTGGCACTACTATCAATGCTTCCGGGTTCAGTAAAAAGCATAAAGGGGGGACTGGCATGCCCCATATTGGAAGCAGCAAGGGCGATAATCCCAAGATACTGGAGACAACCAAACACCCCTGAGATCCGGGAATGGGTATTAGAACTGAACCACATAATGCGAAGGGAAGAATTGCCAGCTCACGTATACAATAGACATGTGATATTTGTAGAAAAATGGAGACCATGGATGGTTCTTATTGGCTCAACAGAGATTCAACAATACTTATAAGAAATTGAGGTATTGCATCTTTCCCCTTTCGTGCACATATTTTTTGTTTGTTTGTTTGTTTGTTGAGGGAGGGAGGGAAGGAGTTTGGATATGGGGGAGGAGAAGAGGGGTGGGGAATGGATGTAGGAGTGGGTATGATAGGTTTTTATGAACAATAGGGTAAGAGTAAAGGTATTGGACCGAGACTGAAGTGGGATTTCAGACAATACAATGCGTTTTGCTCTTTCCTCTCATGGTTATATAAGTAATGGTGAAGGGCTAATTTATTTTGCAATCAATCACAAGCATTAGCTTTTTTTTAAACTTATTTTTTATCTGTAATTAAGAAGCAACTCTAGATATGAGATAGCCGTTGAATGTAGACGCTATTGTTATTATCATGTAATTTATGGAACTGAATGTGAAATGAAATGAATAAAAAAAAATTTTCTGGGATAAATAAATTACACATTTTATATGTAAAACAGAACATTTTGGAGTAGACTAGTGATGTTAGCGTTTGAAGTGTTACAGAATAGATTTACTTCTGTTAGTTAATTGAAGATGTTTCTGCTATGTTTGTTGCCATTGAGCTGCAGTTCTTCCACTATGGAAGACACATGGCAGTCCACTGAGACAAATAACTGCTGGAAAAGCAGTAAAACACCACTAGACATGCTGTAAAGACTAATTTGACAGCATGAGTGATAATGCACTCAACTTTTTTCACCATAAACTTTTTATTTACAATCTAGAGTGCATCAGTACCTATGTCTTGCTCTGGGAAATAAGCAGTTTCCAGTACAATGCTGTTCCTTTTTAAGAACATTCCTGTTTACCAATAAATCAGTTACTGGTGCAGCAATCTGGAGTACAGCTGACATACACTCAGAAAGCGGTACTAGGGTACACCCCCATGAGCTGTATCATAAATATTTTCTGGACTTATTCAACAGGAGTTCTTATTCTTACGTGCTAATGTTTTAAGGGCAACCAATCCGCGCTCAACTTGCTGAAGACAGACCAGTACCAGTGAATGGATGCTTTGAGTTATTACATTTAAAAATTAGCACTTTAGAAAAAAATCTCTTTTTTTAATCCACAATTGAAAGTGATTTCATATGGTGCTCTATAGATCATTTGATTGGCTACATTGTACACACAGTCCTGTTTCCATTGAACATACCCACTGTCAATTCCACTCATCAGTTCTGACAATTCCACTCATCAGTTCTAAAGATTTGACCAGAAATAGATGTTTACTTTCAAGATTCCCATACATCACTTGGTCTTTTGAGTATCCCATTGAGTGTAAAGCTGGGTTCTCCCCTGTTATTGAATAGCACTCACACTATAGAAAAAAAGAAGAATGGCTATATGTTTTCAAATCTCTCTTTTTTTCCTGAGCATTCATCAGTTCTCAGCACATATACATAACACTTATTATGTAGTCCACAAAGATGCACATGTCTGGAACAGAATGGAAGATTGGCATTTTTACTACCCATGGTAGATCTTATTTGGTTACATTTAATAGCAACAGTTATGTTATTCTACATGATATACATGTGAACTTATCCTGCAATAGTAAAGAGTTAAAAATGTAATTAAACTAAATGTATTCTACTCCACCCAAATATTTATTTTAGATTTGTTTGGATAAAATGAGGAATGGTAACAACTTTATATCCCCATTTACGAATTTTTTTTTCCCTTCCTTTTTGTCAAGTGTCAATACAGAAAATATTAATACAAATATACAAAATGTTGAAGTGAGGGAAAATCCTCCAACTTCCTGTTTATTTAAGGGTGTTAGACAGAGCAGGAAGTAAGGGGAATATATCTAGAATTAAAAAAAAAACTTTGCCTGGGATTGGCATTTAATACAAAAAACCCAAACAACGCGATTGCTCCAGATCTGCTAACCTAAAGGAAACAAAGCTATTGTCCATCGCAGCTATTAGATATCCAGTCATATATCTAACACCGTCAGATATTAAGGATAGCCCATATTATTGGAAGCATAGGTCTACTGTAGCGTTTATGCAGTCTAATGAAAATCAAGTATGACATTTGCCAAGCCTGATGGTATTATGGAATGTTCTGATGGGATTTTTTGTACATACATTGGTACGGAAATCTATCCATGTATGCCCTACTTAAGATTGACGCCTGATGTCTATTTTAAAAAAAACACCTACCAATCCTGAGCAGATGTTAAATTAGCTGACTATAGTGAAAGTTTTTTGCTGGCCAAGTACGTAGTAGGCAAACCTGAGTGATCAGACACAATTGTTTCAACCCTCTTCTATGGTTATCTTTGAAGTTTGGTTTTACCCTTTGCGCTGTCAGTTTTTTTTACACAGTAATACCAAAATATGTCATACTGGTCAACAATCGCCCTACATACAGTGCATAATTATCTCAAAATAGATGTGAGAAAAAAAAATATATTTTGTATTTACAAAATATAAGCTATTATACTGTAGGCTTTTCAAATCATTGTAAATAAAGCAATCTAATGACTATGCTGATGAATGTCTATGCTTGGAGTTCACCGGTCTTAGTTACATAAATAGTTTCAGCTCACAGATCAGCATATCTCCAGTGGAATTCATAATACAGCAGCATGAACGATATTTTGTGTTAGCATGCATAATTTAGTGCACTTCATACATCTTAAAGTATTGATGAGGTTGCCAAGTTACATCAGGTTTAAGAAGTAGAAACAAAGCATGAGAAACATGTCACACTTGCTGCATGTCTTCACTGTCATTTTAGAATCCTCTGAGATATCTTATGTAGTGGTTACATAATCGTGTTGTCTGAAATAGATTAAGAACTGGTGTCATCAGTCTGGTCCCTTGCTCTTTGGGGAAAGAACTTTCTGTCCTGATTATAAACAGTGAGGTAGTTCTGTCAATATTGTTTTAAACTGCCTTAGTCTTGGCAAAGGCTTAGATTTTGATGCAGCTATGATTAAGAATAGCAGAAGTCAAAAGAAAGATCACCTTTACATATGAACCTTTTTTTCGATTCTTGGCTGTGCAATCAGAAAATTAGAATTTAATCATATTTGGGGTATCAGGGCAAGATGGCTTATTTTAATGAGACTTATCTAGGGCTGTGTTGTGGAACTAGTAGTAGGACAAACAATAAAATATAAGCAAAGATAAAAAGATCAAACATTTCAAAAGCATTAATATATTAATATATTTTCAAGTCTATTTGGGGTTATTCTGCCCAAGAGGGCTTCATAAAGACAACTTTTAGTATGTTGGCTTGCAGTTTGGTAATCAAGTTATTTCTTTGAAATGCTCAATGCAGTGCCGACTGCCCAATGCAATGTGTGTTAAGTAATGTATTATGGTTAAAATTAGCCTAATTTACAATTTTGTTTTTCAGATACATGTATCACAATATGTATAGCTACTGTATATTAATCATATATAATAATAATGAGCCATTAACAACTGAAATATGTAAATGCATATTTACCTGCTTTGTAGTGTGTGCTTTCAGTAGGCCCATTTTGAAAAACCCATGGAGCCACTGGAATTGGAGCTGTGTTTATCAGGTGTTCCACATGGTCTGATACTATCTGCCATGCCCCACTGCTGCCATGGATCTTAGTTTATTACAATTTCAATACAATAGATGTATTACAAAGTATTAAAAACTATCATTCTATACTAAATACCAGAAAAAATCTCAACCATTATAATGAGGCATTTCCACCATATTAGTAAGGCAACGACTATACTAGGCTAATGACTGACTCATGGTTTCATGCAAAACTCTGAGAATAGTGTATTTCCAGATTTTTCTTTTTTTGCAAAGAGCACTGATCTCCAGTAGCAATGTATTTTATGCTCTTGCAACGTACAAAGAGGTTGCTTACTCAGATGTAGCCTGTTTATTGGATACTTTATCACTTTTTAACATCCTTCTGACTTTATTGCTTGGAGTGATATAATTTCCTATAAGCATGTCTTTAAAGGAAAGCAAATTAAATCCTGTCAAGCATTTTAAGATGTAATGTGGTCTGTTTTTATCTTTAGGACTTGTGCAAGCAGTGAAACCGAGAGTGAGGCTGGAGATTACATGGACCAGCAATATGATGACCTTAACAATAAAATGAATTTGGTGACAGACCCAACTGGATTCCTGAGGATGGTCAGCAGAAACAACACATTCAACAGGTAAAGTGTACTACAAGGAGGTTAATGTAGAATGGCACTTTTTTGCACTGCTTTATAACCAGTTCATTGTAAAATGGTCACTGACTTATGTCAGCTTTGCCTGTTCAATTCCCGTGATACGAGTTTTAAAGCAAGTCAATTAGTGTAGACATTTCTGCAGCTGCAGAGGAACGACACTCCATAAAATGCAAATGTTATTATTATGAAATTGTTCTTTATCTCAACTATTATGAGAGCCCTACATAACTCATTGTGAACATAATTGGCTTCCGTGAGCAGATCTAATTATCCATAGAGCAGCAATCTGTTCTGCTCCGTCATATTTTACATTACAGCGTGTAGCGACCATCCCTGGTTACTGGTGAATCTGGGGGATCTGTGTATGACTCTCAGTATTTTGGAGAGCTGATAGGTAACACAATGAAGCTTATCTAGTAATTTTCTAAAGTGCACTGATGTGCAGTAACTCCCAGCAACTAAATTGATTTCTTATGTCATCTGTTTCAAGCAGTCGAAGCAATAAAATTTGATTTCTGATTGAGTGATATGTGTCGCTGCAATTGACTTTACTGCATTGTGGTACAGACCAGAAATTTGTTTTGTGTGCTGTTTGAGACATTTGTGCTATATCTAAGAATCCACAAAACATGCAGGCTTATTCAGTATAACAGCAAAAGCAATGATGGGAATGTGCAAAGTGCAATAAGCAGTCAAACAGATTTGTTTCCTATAATCAAATCATCAGAATATGAGGAAAAGATACATTCTGAAAGTTTGCTAAGAGTCTGTACACTACAAACATTGCTCTTCATTTTATTAAATATACCTATGATGTTTTTGTTTAATGTCTGCCTAAAACATTTAATAACTGATTGTTGGATTCATTATTAACTGGACATACACACAAGAAAAGTTTAATTTTTGTAGGATATAGTGGGATGCAGAGAGTCATATTCCTTTTATCCCTTTTGTTGTATGCAGCTCAGTCAGTCTGCCTACAGTTTACATACCTGTCTTGGTAACAGCCACTGTTAAAAGCTGGACACCAGGAAGCTTCAACATAATATACCTATTTTCATGTTATTTTAAAGGAAATTACATTAGCATGTATGCATTAACCAATTTATAGAGAAAAAATGCTACTAAAATACAAACATAAAATCCTTTTGACTTCCATTTGACTGTTTTTCAATGACACAGTAAGAATTTGCTAACTGTAGATGTAAATGGAAAATAAATTGATGGGCATACAATGCTCATGAAAATTGATTGCTTTTACTAAAATAATTTAGATTAATTACTACCATTGTTTAATGACTATTCTTGTCCATGCTTGTCAGGAGAACTTTTTCATGGCTTGGGTTGCAGCAAATGCCATCGTTAATACTAGCAAATATAGGAATAACTTCCCGCAAGTGTAATGGTGCCAAAACCTGATATGTTTCTTCTAAATGGTTCCCTCACTACATAGCTCCTCTATTTGCTTGAGATAGTTGGAGCTTCCAGTAAGTAGGTGTGATGGTGTCTTACACTATATAATACTATTCTAACATAGTCCATATATGGGCCTGTCACTGAGACAGGCGGTTAGATTTTCCTTTGCAATGGCTGGACCTGCTGGGACAATCATATAATTATTGTCCAGATTTACCTAACTTTATGCAGGTTTAGTCACCTAAAACAAAAGTCACAAGCAACATTTCATTTCAGAGCCATGAAGATTCCTACTTCACATAACTTCATGTCCTTATGCCTTCAAGATGATCCTTGACTGACCCCAAAATGTTTTATTGTGTTCCTTCAAAGTCCCCAAGGCCACTACTTCTCTTAAGCACAAACTTTTTCATTTGCTTTGGATGGAACTGGGAAGGACCTTTGTTGAATTCATTTTTGCTGTCTGTATCCCCGTTGGGGAGATTTCTCCTGACTGCTTGTCCAGACATGACGTGACAAGAAACTCTCCGACAGCGACAAGGACAAAAACATGTTTTTTTTGCAGAATTAGAACTTCTGAAAATTATTTTATTGCTGTCTCTGCCTTCCTGCCCCACCATTGCTTGTCCCAGTGCCACAGACACCTACCCAGTATGGTCACAAAGACAAAAACAAAATATTTTCCCCTTTTCTGTCTAAGCTTAAAGAAAAAAGTGTCTTGAATAAGTCTTTAATCAAGGATGCTCTTATGTCTTCTGAGCAAAATAGGCCCTACAGTCTCTTAGTTAATTACAAGGGTGTTCTTTTTCCTATACGTGATGGTGCCACTAGGTCACTCATTATGATGGCACAAAGCTTCAGACTGACCTCAGGTTTGGAAACAGATTCCCAAAGTTATACCTGTAATTAGCCTAGAGTGTCCACAAGGACATGGGATAAACCCAAATGTATAATGTGTCATATAAATAGGAAACTCGTGGGACTGTTGAAAGTTTGCTGAATAGCCATAGATTGTTCACACTGTGGTAGATATTAAAAATTACATCTTAAATGTTTAGTTTTCACAGACTGTTATGCAAAATATGGATATGCTTGACCTTGGCTCTCCAAATTGTCTTCCTTCAGAAAAATAAGCCATTACTTTGTTCTCTGATTTAAATAATGCTTTATTTATGCTTATTATGCATACTTTGGTTTATTTATTTAAACCTCATTTTAATCTGTTCATACATTAACTTGTATACATAAAAGCCAAGTGTGCAGTGAGCATGTAGAACATTGTTTAGACTGATCCAAATGAATGCACAATGAATGAAAGGTTAGATGCTTTTTAATATGTTAATGTCTTGAATATTCCAAATTCTATCAGCACTAAAAGCAATTTAAAACATGAGCTGCATACTTCAATTCAGTTCATCATGCATGCTCTTTTTATTTTTTGGGAAAAAATATTGACCATTAAAGGCAGTCAGAAACTGCCCAATTTATGCATATTTTGCATGCAGTTTCAAAAAAATTTAAGAATTGGTTATGTAAGGGTTAACACGTATGTGATAATGAGCCCTTACAAGCATTAGCACTGCCTGATTTACGGTTGTGGTGAGTTCCGGTCAAGTTTTGTAGCAGTTTACACTATAGGACAGTGATTGTAGATAGGATTTATCTTCACTTTAAAGGGACTCAATAAGTCACTAAGGGTATGCAGAGCAAACTGCTGCAGGTATGGAGTGCTGGCACCTACATTCACATGCCTGCAACAGCCTTCTAAACCTTCATGGCCAAATCTCAGGCCATTTTAACAAACAAAACATCAGCACTTTCTGAGGCAGAAGCTTGCTTTGCTATCTTCTCCTGCACGTTCCTCATTGGCCACTGAGGCTACCTGTCATAAGGATGGGCGAATTGTAATGTATAAGGCGAGGTTTTGCAGCAAGTTCTGAAACTTCCCAGAAAATGTGGTCATTATAGGTAGGTTTGAGGAACTGCTGTAAGTATGTGCATATACCTCTAGGTGTATGCACTTCATACCTGCAGCATTTCTCTCCCTGTCCCCCCCAGTGACAATGTCTCTTCAACCTGGCCCTAGACAAAACAGGATAATCAGATGATTTGAGCAAAAGAAGGTTTCTTTTAAATGATCAACAGACAATCCTGCCTATGAAAACCTTTTCAGATCATGAAGCACTTTACTGATAAAAACAAACCTGCCATGTACAGGCTTTTACATATTGCGTACAATAAAGAAGATGGGGTTAATAGAAACATTATTTTATTAACAAAAAATGGCTTATCTTGAAGGCATCAAATACCAACAATGACTCCATCAGAATATCAATTAGCCCTGCTGATTTTGAAACTAGGCTCCTAATGATAATGACATTTCTTCAGTAATGAATTGCTACAAGGTGCATTTGTATCTTTTTTTTTCTTAAAATTGTTTTTGATTAATTTTTTTACTGTATCTGCTTTGTCTTTCATGAGAACTAATTATTAAATAAATGCTATCATAAACTTGTCACCACTTTGTCTTCACCTCCAGACCTCTGTGTTAACAGTTATCATTTAAAGATTCTCTATACTTTATTCTAAAGGGAAACATAATTCTGCTTGACTTGAGGTTGTCATGGCAACCAAACAGCTCATTAGCTATTCTCCTGCTTGTGTGTGAGGCTCATTAATTTATACATTAATTGTTGTAATGCGGATGAGCTGGCTGTGTTTTCCCTGGCATCATTTACACCATGTAGATTTTGGAAAACAAGTTAGTCTAGCAGTTGGTTGGAGTTTAGCTGTTTCTATCTCCTATGTCGGAGAACATTGGTCCATTAACTTTCATGGCTGGGTGATAACCTTTTATTGAATCCAGCTTTAATAGGGGTGAAAAAATACCTGTCTGCAGGACAAATTAAATTTGTCTGACCAGCAGGTAGTGAAGCTTTGCTTGTTCGTATCAGTGGGAGTAGTGTGGTTGTGTAAGAGCGCCGGTGGTAGCCAGATACCTGTAAATCTCTGTACAAGTTAAACATATTCCAACATTATTCACAATACAATGTACTCTATAAAAAATTGTGGTCAATAATACTAAGTTGTTAATAATAGAGGTACCCTTAATACTGTACATTTAACAAGCATGTGTATATATAGGAGTAAAAGCACACGTCCTGGCATCTGGCTCCAGGAAGAAGAGGGGTTTCTCATGGCATTGTGCTGTTGCCAAAAGGGACGTGTTTATTGATATAGCTGTGTTTTGTTAATAGTTTAGATGTATGTTAATTGAGGCAGGGGTTTTTATTTGTCCAGATTTTGATTATAAAATATTGGGAGGTATTCAGCACTGGTCTGATTGGTAAAAGGATTTTCAATGTACATATTCAGTACTTTGTAAGGCTCCTCTCACACGGTCCACTCAGCAGAGGATATGTGCACAGATCTCCTGCTGATCGGAATGGATGTCCCCCTGGTGAGATGCCTGTTCATCTAGTTGTTTCCTCAATCTTGCAATGGAGAGAAAAACTGAGCTCATCGGACCTATGTTGGTCTATGTGGAATCAGATGTAAACGGATTT